CCCCCCCCCCCCCCCGCGCCATGCACCAGGCCTTCCACTCCATCCCAATCATAGCAAAGGGAACCTGAAGACATTCACTGCACACCACTCTTCAGGCACTGGGATGAAGAGTGTTTATCGTGTTTACCCTCCATAGGGGTAGGCGATTACAATCCAACAGGTGCGCTGACCCCAGCCTGCCTTCCTCCCTTCCCCATCCCTCCAGTCCCAGTTCTACCCAAGAAGCAGAGCTTCCTTGTTCCTCTGTGTCCTGCCCAGCCTTGGAGCTAGATGCCTGGTTTGGACACTATCCCCACAGCTGATGCTTAACAAATCCTTCAGGTTTCACTTAGAACGACAAGCTCCCAAGGAAGCCTTTCCAGTGAGAACTTTTTAGAGTACCCTTTCCTCCGGGTCCCCAGGGCACTCGATGTGTCCCCTACTTCATCCCATGGCAGTACCCTAGGGTTTTGTTTTGTTTTTTTCATCCCTCTAGACTATAAGCTCCATGAGGACAAGGGCAAGACTCATTCATAACTGAACTTTAGGGCTTCACTGTGCCTCAACACAGCAGCATTGTATGCTTACATGGCAGCTGATTAAACACATCTAATGTCATTCTTACAACAGCTCTGCCCCCATCTCACAAACCATCCCAAGACCAGAATGCTGTTATGGTCTGAACTGTGTCCTTCCATTTCAAGCCCTATAACCGATAATGTGACTGTTATTAAGAGACCAGGCCTTGAAGAAGCTAATTAAGTGAGCTCATGAGGTGAGGCTGGGACCCAATAGGACTAGTGTCATCAAAAGAAGAGAAAGAGACATCAGGATGCATATACGCAGAGAAAAGGCCACCTGAGACAATGAGACAGTGGTCTTCCACCTAAATATTAAAATTCTAGTTGTTAATAATGATAAAAGATCTGAGCTGGTAAGTCACACCACTTAACTAGCCATGGAAAACATTCATAAACAAGTTTGTAAATGGTTGTGTTTTCATGTGGATATATGTTTTTATTTCTCTTGAATACCATTCTAAGAGTGGAATTGATGGCTACCGTATCTGGATCCTAAGTGGGTTGAAGGCCTGCTCCCTAGCATGACTCTATTAGAAGGTGGTGGAAAGTTTAGAAGGTGGATCTAGTTGGAGAGTTTCTGGTCCCTGGAGGTGTACCATGAAAGACTGCAGGACCCCAGGCCCTTCCTCCTCCCATTCTTTGTTTCCTCAACATCAGATAAATAGGCTATCTCTGCCACATGCTCCTGCCTTGAGGTCTGGCCTGAGCCCAGGCCCAAAAGCAACTGAACAACTGGTTATGGACCACGTCCTCCAGAACTATCAGCAGAATTCACCTTTTCTCTGCATGAGCTGATTTTTCTCAGATGTTTCTTTGACTAACAGAGACTGCCAGGCTATTCTCCACAGCAGCTGAACTCCCAGCATTCTGAACTCCCACCAGTCCTACACAGGAGTTCTGATATCTGCATCCTCCCCAACTCATCATTGTCCACTGTTTTAATTACAGCTTTCCTAGTACATGTGAACTGTTACTATCTTACTGCAGCTTACACTTCCATTTCCCTGATGACTAATTGCCTTGAGTATCTTCTAAAGTGTTTACTGGTCACTTTTATATTTCCTTTAAGAGCAATGCCTATACAGATGCTTTGTCCATTTTTAATTTTTTTATTAGTGAGTTGTAAGAGCTCCTTATAGGGACTGGGAAGGTGGCTCAGTGGTAAAGTGCTTGCCTTGCATGCATGAGGCCCTGGGTTCGATTCCTCAGTACCACATAGCAGAAAAAGCTGGAAGTGGTACTGTGGCTCAATGGTAGAGCACTAGCCTTGAGCTGAAGAGCTGAGGGACAGTGCCCAGGCCCAGAGTTCAGGCCCCACAACTGGCAAAAAAAAAAAAAAAAAACTCCTTATATTTTCTAAACATCAAATCCTTTCACAGATACATAGTTTGCAAACGTATTCTCCCTTTCTGCAAGCTGTCTTGTCATTTTGATAGTGTCCTTCAATGTACAAAGACTTTAATTTTTATAAGATCAAATTTATCTATTTTTGTTTGCTTATCTTGGTCTATTTTGACTATTATATACAGTTGTTCCCATGGAGATCTGCTGGTAAGAACTGATTAGCCAAGCTTTTTCCTCAATTTAATTAACATTTTTGATATAGTAAACCACTTATCAGTTAGCAAGTCTGGTGTCATATCTCTCTTTGAAAAGAAGGCAAACTGATTGTGGACCCTTTTGACAGATATGAAAATAACAGACATAAGCTCTTAGCACACTGTGAAATGGAATTAGTTACACCAGAAAAGTCAAGCTGGGTACAAACCCTGACTTATCTGGGTACTTAATTAACTCTCTGCTGCAGGATACTCAGCATACTATCTCTGTCCTGACCTGCCACCTCCAGATTCTCCACTGAATTCCTTCAGCTCCCAAGCCTCTTACTTCTCCTCCATCTGCCTCCACTTCCCATCCTTCCTGCTCTCCCTCCACCTGTTTCTATGATCTGCCTCTGGGCTCACTCCAATTTGCTCATTCTACCCCAGCTGCTCTCCGTTCAGTCTTGCTGCTCTCACAGTCTCTGAGTCCCTCTACGTAGGTATATCAACAGTGAAACAGATAAGCTCCACCTGCCCTGCAGTCTCTTCTTAGCCCCCTTTCTGCTGGCCTAGCCTCTAAATGGAAGACGCTTCCTTCTTCCTTCTCTCTTCTCCCATATCCATAGAAATGGAGCTGTGTCTCAAGTGGGACAATAGTAACTTTGGGTAGAAAAAGCTAAAGGACAGGGCCCAGACCCAGAACTGGCATTTTACTCATCTATCAAAGAGTATTATGTCTTTTGCAGGGAAATGGATGGTCCGAGAACAAAACATGTTAAGTGAAGTAAGCCAGGCTCAGAGAGACAAAAAGCACATGTTTTCTCTCGTATGTGAAAGTTAGATCTAAAATACAACTATGCATAACATATAAAGGGCTCAATGCTGGGCTGGGGAGGTAGCTCAGTGGTAGAGTGCTTGCCTTGCATGCCTGAGGCCCTGGGTTCGATTCCTCAGCACCACATAAGCAAAAAGAAAAAAAGCCGGAAGTGGCGCTGTGGCTCAAGTGGTAGAGCGCTAGCCTTGAGCTGAAGAGCTGAGGGACAGCGCCCAGGCCCAGAGTTCAGGCCCCATGACCGGACCCAAAAAAAAAAAAAAAAAGGGCTCAATGCATTTACACACAAACCAACTGACTAAAGGATGGTATACTTAGGGGAGGAATCCAAAGGCATAACTCTTTTGAACAACTAAAGTATACTGTTTATCAAAAAGAATAGCAGGATGTGAAAACATGTTTTGGAGGGAGGATGGGGATGGAAGAAAGAAGGGTGCGCAAATGCAGTCATTATTTTCAATGTATACTATATAAAAAAGAATTAAGTAATGTAGGTAAGGACAGGATGGGGAAAACAGGGGAGAACAAAGGAAGGGGTGACACTGACCAAGAAGCATTGTACTCACATAACCTGAATATGGAACTATAACCCTTTGTATAACTACTTAATAATAATATAAAAAGGGCAACCTTCAAAATGGTGACTGCTATCATCATTACCTTTTTTTTTTTCTAATTGAAGACTCAGAGGGAAGAAATAACCAAAAAGAACTGTATCAAATTTGGCCCAAGCCACCACTGAGACCAGCCAACAAGATTTTGAGAACTGACTTTCAGGTAGCTAGAAAGGAGACAGCCTATCTAAAGGGTTGAAAGGAAACAATGACAATGGAGAGACAACAGAAGGGGAGAAAGTATTTGCAAGCCATACACACAACAAGACATTATTATCAAAAATATATGAAGAACTCAAACATTTCAATAGCAAAAAAAATCTGAGTATAAAATAGGCAAAAGAGTCAAACAGATATGTCTCAAAAGGACAACTTACAAATGGCTACCAGACAAATAAAAAGGTACTCAGCATCGGCCACCAGAAAAATGCAAATCAGAAACACAATGCATGGCTCACCCCAGTTAGAATGGTTACAGTCAAAAAGACAAGAAATAAGAAATCATAGCAAGCTGTGAAGAAAGCGAAATTCATTCATAACACTGTTGGTAGGAATGTAAATTAGTACAGCCATTATACTGAGAAGCAGAAGGTGGTTCCTTAAAAAATTAAAAATAGAACTACCATATGATCCAGTTAAGCCATTAATATGTATAGCCTGTCAAACAGTTATCTGCACTCTCTTGTTTATTGCAACATTCTTTACAACAGCCAAAATTTCAGTCAACCTAAATATCCAACAAGAAATAAATATTTTTAAAAGTATTTTAAAATACACATCGTATAATATTATTCAATCACACACACAAAAAAGGATGAAATCCTGTCATTTGTGACAGGGTTGGGCCAGGAAGACATTATATTAAGTAAAATAAGACAATCACCAGATGATCTTCCTCATATGTAGACTCTCAAAAACGCTGACTTTGTATAAGGTGTGGTGGCACAAACCTGTAATCATAGCTGTTTGAGAGGCAATGATATGAGGATCACAATCCAAGACCAGTCCCAGGGAAAAACATGAGACCCGATCTGAAAAATAAGCTACAACAGAAAGGTCTGGCTCAAATGATAAAAAGCTTGCTTAATAGGCAGAAGGCCCTGAGTTAAAATCCCAGTACTACATAAACATACACACACACACACACCACCACCACCACCACCACCACCAACAACAACAACAACAACAACTAACCTAAGAGTAAATTCATGTTTCCCAGAGAAGGGAAGCATGAAAAGAAGTTGGTACAAAGATACAAGTAGAAGGAGTAAGTTCTGCTGTTTTATTGCACAGTAGGGTGATTATAGTTAACAATAACATATTACATATTTCAAAATTGCTAGAAATGCTCTCAACATAAAAAATGGCAAATGCATGAAGTGACATGCTAACTACTATGATTTGATCATTATGCAATGCATACACATACTGTAATATTGCAGTGTACCTAATAAATTTGTACAGTGAGTATGCGTCAATTTAAAAGAAAAGCCCAGAAGTAGGTTATAAAGAGACTGGAGGCAGGGCTGGGAAGGTGGATCAGTGGTAGAGTGCTTGCCATGCATGCATGAGGCCCTGTTCAATTCCTCAGCACCACATAAGCAGAAAAAAAAAAAAAAGCCAGAAGTGGCACTGTGATTCAAGTGGTAGAGCGCTATCCTTGAGCTGAAGAGCTGAAGGACAGCGCCCAGGCCCAGAGTTCAGGCCCCACGACCGGACCCCACAAAAAAAAAAAGGAGGCAGAGCATGTTTTAGTCTATTTATACCATGATCATACCACGCTCTGCTTAACCTATCTGAGTCTGTGACTCTTACTTATGAAACGAGAACAATCATCTCACACAACTGCTACCAGAATCAAATATGGCAATGGATATGGAAAAGCCTGGCTCAGTAGAAAAGATTGCCTTTCCATCTTCCATCCCTCTCTAGTCTTCCCTGGCTTAGAAATAGGTAGAATCACAGAATTTCGTGTCTTATTTTTATTCCCATAAACACAGTAATCAAAGGAAAAAAATCTCATCGCCTCCAATCCTACCAAAAAACTGGATCAGGACTGAGGCTTCACCCACTCATTCACCTAATAATTCCTATTTACTGAACAGATAAAGAAGGGTGAACAAAACAGACTAGGTCTGACCTCATGGGGCTCCCCCAGAGTGAAGAAACAGACAGGAAGACACAGTATCTTTCTGCCAACAACAGCTGCAAAGGAGAGTGTCTAACTACAGACAGTGTTGGAAGGTGGGAAGTCAGAGAAGGCTTTATAGAAAAAATAATCAGCTGACAGCTGAAGAATTGTTAATACAAGGTGAACGAAGAGCATTCCAGGCAGAGGAATAAAACACTCAGGGCCAGTGATTCCTATCTGTAATCCTAGCTACTCAGCCACCTAGGATGCAGAGCCAATCACCTAGGCAACTAATACATAGGATACTTAATGTCTGAGTTCACAGGAAACCTCTGGGATAGAGATGTGATCGTAAGTAATGTAAAGCTGACCTGGGCAAGGGAATAGACCTAGGTGAGATCACCCACTAAAGAGAGAAGGAACCTAGAGCAGACATTTAATATCCAAGAGGGTAATTGCAAAGGAGTCTAAAAACAGGCTTGAGAAGTGGTATTTCATGGAAGCTAAGGAAATGTGTGTGACTAGAAGTAGTCAATGTGTCAAACATAGCCACAGGTCATAAGTGAAAGGTTGAGCCTCTATAAGATGCCACCTGACAGGCCCTTGCTCTCCCAGCGAGGCTGCTGCTGGAGAGGCCTAATATCAGAAAGCTGAGGCCTATGAGATCTTCTCTCAAAGGGTTGTGGTAACTGCCTGGGTCATCGGAGGCCAACCTGCTAGTATTTTTCTCAAGGAAGGAGGAAGAACAGAGACCCAAAGCATTGCCATTGTCTCCAATGACCTTACCTTAGGGACTGTGTCAAAAAGAGTAAACCTTTAGCTGAGTAGCAGTGGCTTACACCTGTAATCCTAGCTACTCAGGAGGCTGAGAGCTGAGGATCACAGTTCAAAGCCTATGAGACTCTTATTCTCTAATTACCCACAAAAAGCTAGAAGTGGAACTGTGGCTCAAGTGGTAGAGCACTAGCCTTGAGCACAAAAGCTCAGGGAAGGTGCCCAGGCCGAGTTTAAGCTCCAAAACCAGGAGAAAAAAAAAAAACAGCAAACCCCAGCCTTTCGGCCTCTGTCCTGTGACTTTTTAAATATGCATAGTTTTAGAATTGGGTCAGTACTTGAGATCCCACAACAGGGTGCAAAGTGAAAGAGGCTCTTCCACTCTTACAGCCAACATTGGCCTGGACTACCATTTCCCAGCACTCCCACTCCCCAGCTCCAAACCCACTTACCCGGTAAAGCACTTGGACCTTGGACTTTGTCTGTCTCCTGGTCTGCCTGATCTGAGTTCTCAATCACTTGTTCCAACTCCTCACTCAGCTAAAAGGAGAAGCAAAGGAGGTAGGTCAGCTGCACCAAGTTTGCTTTTCTAAGCTAAAATAAAAAAACAGAAGCTGCTTCTCAACTGTCATAAAATATACACGTGTGTATAAGTGTGCGTATATATATACATAAACATATATATATATATAAAAATAATATGACGTAGTGTATGTTGGGTCAATTCTACAGATCAAGACAATGGAGCTCTGGTAGACAACAGCCAGCAGATCCTTTTCTTACAGATAGATCTGATTTCAGATCTCAGCCTTCATCTTCACAAGGCATTCTTCCTGTGTCCGTGCCTTCACTGCATGGACATCTTCTTTAGGGCCACTATTCATGCTGGATAGGGGTCATACTGAAGTATGACCTTGTCTGAACTTAGTACATTTGATGTAATCCTATTTCTCAGTATGAGGGTTAAACTTCAACAGGTCATTTTAGGAAACATAATCCAACCCACTACACCTCCCATAGCCACAGAGCCAGCAAAAGACAAAGCTGAGTCAACTCCAAGTTGGTCTAGCTCCAAAGCCTATGGTCTAAACCACTTCCTAAAAGAAGAGGAAATGTGGCTTAGAATCTGCTGAGAAAAGGGAAGAGTGAAGTTGACACAAGACTCTTGGGGACTCTGGTAAAGTCTACACACTTGTTCCCACTTATTCTGCAAATGGCAGAAAAAAGTGGGAAGGGTATCCAGGCAACCTCAACCTCACTACATCCATAGTCTCACCTGTCAAATGGGGGAAGTTATACCACTGAGAAATGCAGAAAGAACAGAATGATAATCAACAATCTCTACAGGACTAGAAAGAAGGGCAAAAGAGGTCACAGTTTGGAGGAGGAGGTATCAATGAATTGAAAGGGAAGGAAGAGAGGGAAGATTCTCAAGTGTTTATTTTAGGCTTAAGTGTCATTGCTTAAGGTTTCAAAGCATTTGAACTAAAACTGACTCCCAGGAAACTCAGAGTTAAAACAAAAACAGAAGCTAGGCAATGCAGGCTCACGTCTGTAATCCTAGCTATTCAGGAGGCTGTGTTGTGAAAATCAGTTCAAAGCCAGCCCTGGCAGGAAAGTCTGTAAGATCATATCTCCAATTAACCACCGAAAAGCCAGAAGTAGAGCTGTGGCTCAACTGGTAGAGTACTAAACTTGAGAGAAAAAAAAAAATCAGGGAGAGTGCCTAAGCACTGAATTCAAGCCCCAAGACAGAGAGGGAGATGCAGACACAGAGACAGACAGACAGACAGGAACAGACACAGACACACACAGACACAGATACACACAGACACACAGCTCTTGTAGAGCTGTGGATATAGCTCAGCACTATCAAGCTACCAAGTGCAAGACCTTCAGTTCAAATCCCAATAAAACAATAGCAATACTAATAATACAAGACAAAACCTAGACTCTTAATTACAAAAGAGAAGAAATTCAAATGGAAGAGGACTGGGAGACTGGAAAGGCATCATGAGAGACAGACCACTGGTGGGAGCAACACAAAGAGGGCCTGCAAGGTCTTCCTGGCCAAGGAGAGAGAAGCATGTTAGTCCTGAGAAGAACAAAGTTCTTAGATCCGAGTGCCATCCAGGTTCCCCCTGACCGAGGTGGTAACACTCTCCTAGCCAGTTCCCTTCCAGACTACCAGCAGCCTTGAGCCATCTCCTTACCTGTCCTGGTCAAATTCTCAATACACTCAAATCTCCCCTCATGAAGGATACCTAACACAGAGCACTCTAGAAATGATAGGCCAGAAAGATATGGGATACTCTCTGGGCAGTCTTCTTGGCACTGCAGAACAAGCTTCTGAAGAAAGCAAAAGAGGGGTCCTTCCAGTGCCTTCCACTATAAGAATGTCCCCTAGGAGCAACTGATATGGCCTGTGGCCTTAACCCTGCAATACTTTAATAAACATTTCATGAACTGTACTAGATGAAGAGATACAGCAAGCTACGTGTGAATAAGACATAGTCCCATTAAGCCAGGACCTCAAAGCTCCCTAAGAAGCAGAGTTGCGGCCATCCTGTTAGTCACAAGCTCACCCCAGCTCTGAACTAGCCACTTTCTGTGGATGCTGAACTCAACATCTCACACTTGGCTAGGCGAGCACTCACTCTATGACCAGACCCTCCCAGTTACTTAAGGATGAATTTCCAGTGTGACAGGAGACTAGATGAGTGAGCAGATAGCCACGATGATGAGCGAGACAAAGCTGCTGAGCTGTGCGGAGCTTGGAAAGCTCCTTGGGAAGTTTGGGCTGTTCTGGGCAGAACATCAGGTCTGCAGAGCTGGAGAATTTTAAGATTCCCAAGGATCCCAGGGAGAGGTGGAAACATAATATCACTCTCGGGTGCGAGGAGCCGAGACGGAGGAAAAAACTGGCCTGGTGAAGAAGACAAATTGCAGCGGGGAAGTGGGGGGGGGGGGG